GTGGAGAGGGTGGGGTTAAGCCAGATATCTTTTTCAAGGCGATTAAAGGGGACGCTGTGTGTCTGTCTGTCTATGTGTGTGTGTGGTTTGGAGAGGGGGGAGAAGTAGCCGTGATATCGTTCTCAAACGTAATACATTGATACTGGAGCTTTAATTGTATTCACCTGAGCTGATCAAACTTAATATTGTTATTGGTTTCATGGTCGTTATCGGTAGATTTAGTCGTTGGCTAATAATTGATCATACTGATAATAATGGTTATAATAATGATAACAATGACAACAACAACAACAACAACAACAACATAATAATAATAATAATAATAATAATAATAATAATAATAATAATAACACCGGTGTTAACATTCACTGAATGATTCAGGACAACAAGAACTGGATAGCTGTTGGGCGGTGGGGATTGGAAGGCGGATAGAGGGGGGGAGGGGGGTCTCGGCAAAGAATTAAATAACTTTTATGCCCAAAAAAATCGTGAAGCTAAGGTCATAGAGCATTTTTTTTTCATCAAAAAGTATAATCTGATAACAATTTTAGAGATTAACGGGCACTACAATTACAAGAAATCGTTGTCATGAGTGTTATTTTTCACAAAAAATAATGCCCTCCCCCCTTGCGAAATTCTTTACAGATTACAAGCTCTGAATCTACATCTGGCTTTCAATTGGTTACCTTAGAATTATCAAGTTCATTTCCTCACTCATTTTACCTTGCGAAACCCAACCCCTTCAGTAATTGAAATCCTGCACATATCCACATGTATGGCATCCCATGAGGTTTGTTTGTATGTTTGTTTGTTTGTTTGTTTGTTTGTTTGTTTGTTTGTTTGTTTGTTTGTTCTTTTTAATCAGCCTTCATATGATGACGGCTTACGTTTTTAAATACTGTGCAGTGCCGTGCCAGTGATGTAGGTTATGGTTGCTATGCTATTGTGTAGGTAGGTAGTCTTTCGTTGCCGAAGATAACGATGAACTCCTGCAGCCCATCTGTGGACGCGAATGTGTCTGTGCAATCTGATTTTGGATGTACAATGTCTGTCACAGTGGGGACACTAGAGTGTTGTGATTGGGGTGGTTGGATTATGTCTCTTCTCTTTTCTGATAGTCAGCTTCTCCCTGTAGTTGGTATCACTGTTTCTGCTGGCAAGATACACTGCCCTGTGCCAAGCGTTCCTTTCGGTATCGGTTCTTCAGAGTTCTTTGGGGGTAACCTGTGCAAACTGGAGGTTTGAATTCGTCGTGCCTTTGAAACGCTTTTTTGCCCTCCCGAGGTTTCTTTTGGCCTTTTTCGAGTTCGCCGTAGAGCAATTGTTTGGACATTCGGTGTCTTCCATGCGGATGACATGGCCGACCCATCTGAGTTGGGCCTGTAGAATGAACATGTGCGTGACTTTGTTTACAGTGGAGTTGTAGTTGCTCAATGGCAGTCCCACTCTCTCGGCCTAGGAAGCCTTTACCCAGTGGCACGGTAACCGTTACGTCTGGAGACTGCTAAATGCATCGTCCCATGGGAAGACGAAAATGTAAAGGAAAATAGGGGCTATTCGTATTTAGTGTGGTAATAACTAGCAAACAGTGTTTTCATGAAAGTGACATTAGGAGGACTCTCGTGGTCGAGAGATTACGGTGTTCGCCTCTCATCCAGTTGGTCCAGAGTTCGAATCTGGATAGCGACTTAAAATTTTCTTTTCAAAATATCTTCTCTTTTCACCTCCTTTTCCTGCTTTCTCACAATGTTTTGTCATCTGCTTTCGTCTCCACTTTCTGCCCCCACCACACCCTCTTTGCCCCTTCCTCTGGGCTCCTGACTCTTTCTGCAGCCGTTCCTCTACTATTCCTTGGCTTCTTCTTATTAATAATAATAATAATAATAATAATAATAATAATAATAATAGATAGCATTTGTATAGCGCATATCCCCGCCCAACAGCAGGCTCTATGCGCTTTACACTATATTATTACCCCAGCAGACAATAGAACACTCCGAAACATTCTCAGCTTCCCGGGAAGCATACAGTGCAAGCAGCTGATTAAGCGCTCAAACACTAACAAACTGACAAGATCTTTCGCTCTCTATAGCCGGGTACCCATTCCCACCTGGGTGAAGTGGGGAAAATTCGTGTAAAGTGCCTTTCCCAAGGACACAACGTTGGGTCCCTGACGGGATTCGAACCCACGACCTTACGGTTCCGAGTCCGAGAGCCTAACCACTAGGCCACCGACGCCGCTGTCTTTCAGCCACCTCCTTGATCTGTTAGTAGGTAAGATCTAACATCTAGCCTTCTCGGATAAGGGCGAAAAATCTGGATATACATATATTATATATTATGCTACCAGGTTTTTTTGTTCGATGCTTTGGTTCCTTCTTTGGGTGCTGTTTTAATGACTTGAATTATTTCAAATACATAGACTTTAAATGAAAAGCAACACCAAAACATTCCATACAAAATTTTAAACATAATGAAATCTTTTATTGAAAGAAAATCTGCCGATACAACTGCGTACTTCTTCAAATTTCACCCATCAAGTTGAAACAGCTAGTCAGGGGCGGCAGTAAAGGACAGAACCGCCTGGGCAGTGAAAAGGAAACCCTTGCCCGAAAATTCAAAACAAAATACCTAATCGATTTTTTTTAAATCCTAACATTTAACAAAAATATCACATGGCATGACATCGTAAATACGTAAGTATGCAACATAGATTTAAATGCATATCTGTTTGTGAATATCAGAGATGTGAACCTTGGAGGTATCGACCGGTCAGTAAAGGAAAAACATGCCAGGGAGTTCAGCTCTGGACAATGGCACATAGAGTAACTAAAGAATAATACCCCCACCACTCTCTTTCTCTCTCTCTCTCTCTCTCTCTCTCTCTCTCTCTCTCTCTCTCTCACTCGCTCACTCACTCACTCTCACTCTTCCCTCTCTCTTTTTCTTTTATTCTTTTCTTCTCTTTATCAATCTGTCTATCTTTCCGCGTCCCCTTTGACACATCACTTAAAGGAAGCTGTTATTGCTGCTGACCCGTACCTCTTCACCTTTGTTTACCATCCTCAATTAACACTCCCCTTCCTCTCTGTATTTTTCAGGATCTTTTCATATCTTAATCGAGATTCTCTTCCCATACAAATGCATTAAACATACACACCAACATCAATACATAAAGAATTAAAAACTTTGACAGGACGTAAGAAAATACATTGATTGCAAAGTCCAAAAACAAACAGTATCCTTCAGATTCCCGAGCAAGAGATGAATAAAACGTGTGGCAGTTTATTACAAAGTACGAAGTATGTGCACATCGCCCGGTGCGCAAACTGAACTTACAGCTCTTTTGTTTTCTTTAATAATAAAAAAAAAACCTAAGACGCCCCTTGAATTACAAAGTTCTATCTGCTAAGTACCTAGATTCTAGTTTCGAGAAATTTGAAGATAAAAATGTTCAGTTTCAATAAAGGTCAAGCTTTTTCAAATGCAATTCTTGAATATCTTGATAACGACTCCGAATAGTTTTACCATTTTGATTTGATAGAGCAGATAGAACATAATTTAGTTTCTGATCCCATGGTGTTAGTAACTCAAAACGGCCAAAATGTTACATAGAACTTTGTAATTCTAAGGTCGCGAAATGTCTAGCAAGGTGTTCGTCTATTTCAAAATTTGACATCAGCATAAGAGTAATTAATGATAACGGTGGTATAGTGATATAATATTTCTGAACTGCACACTTGTCAGATAGTTATCCGAAAACAAAGTGACTAACAAGCTATAGGCCCATGGGTATAGAACTGAGAGTGAAGATACGGACTATTAGCATAACATTTTACTATGTTAAACTGATACGGCCTTTCATAGGTAATTCCGGACTAAGTCGGGAATGATACAATATAATTAATACAATGTGTGAAAACGAGATTCCATACTTTTATTCCTGATAAGACCCGGCATACACTAGCAAAATTTCCACTCGTCTCGCGTCAACTAAGTATGACGTCACTTAGCAATGAAAAGAAACAAGCGGGCAAAAGTGCCTCATTTGCATACTCGGCGCTGTGCGATAAGCGGGAATTTTCCGTGTGTGCGCGGGGTCTTACAGAGACTCCCATTTTGAGGGGGGGGGGGATCTGCACACTTGCCCTTCTCCTGTCTAGATCCTGCAGCCGTCAGACAGGGCCAAGTAGCAAAATATTATTGCAAAAACATTAACAGTTACAATAAATGGTTTATAAGTAAATTGCACATGGATTCTAGAATGGGGAAAATCAAATTTATTATGAGGAAAAAAAACATATTGTTGCAATCAACCGTAAAAATGAAACAATTCGGTTTCAATGAGAATTCGGTCTCCCTCATCCAGCAACCATCAGGCATAAATTGTGTTTTCTTTTCTTTACAAACCGCTCTTTGAAGATACACAATTAAAGGCAAAGCGCAACGAGGAAGTTTTGGCTCATTAAGAAGAGCATTCTTCTCATTTAACACCGCTTGAGAACGAACTGTCAGTATGTTAGGGCACATTTAAAAATGCAGGGTAACCTCTTTATTCATACAGATTCCAAGATAGGTAGCAACATGGGAGGCATTCTATGAAAAATACAAATTCCTATTTCTGATTGTGTATTATGGTTCCAAAAGTGCCACAAGGTAGTCTTTGGTTTACTGTTGATCGAGCACATGTGTCTACTACATCTATAAATCAGTTAGTTTACTAAATCCTCCTCTGTAGTCCAATAGTTGCCTATTACAAAATATGGGAATGGGACGTTTGTGGTTGGAAAACTGTTACAGTTACAACAGCTGTTTGGGAGACATTTATCAGCTTCATGCATACCTCGGTTCAAATGCATATTATATTGCTTTTGATTATAAGAATGTGTTCAGTCGTATTTTTAAAATAACTTTGTAGAACTGCAAGACATTTTTGATCGATTGTTTGCTTGTTTCTTGTTGTTTTGTTTTGAGTGGGTTATTTTGTGGTTTTTTGTGGCTTTTTTTTCTATTGTTGTGTGATTACAAGGGATAAAGTGTATTAGTCATAAGCAGAAATATTGAGAACTACTGTCTTCCTATTTATCACGTTTTCAAGTGCACCAACGCTGTTTATTTCTCAGACGTACTGTTTTAAACGTGCCACCGACATGTAAATACAGGCTCCTTCTGATAGAAATAGCATAGGCGTACAAATCAGAGCAAGTCGAAAAAGATCATCAAACACAATGATGTAAATGGAAAACTGCAGTCAATGCGAAACATTCTAAGCTAAAAGGAACAAAACAGTAGTGCTTGATTTGTTTGTCCTTTCATGAATTTCAAAGAGTTTCGTATAATGAGGGGGGGGGGAGCAGGGGAGCAGAGGGGAAGGGGGGGATGGGGGTTCCAGGACTTCCCATCACAATTGAGATTACCTTTCAGAGATTAAAGAATATCCCCGCTTGTCCCACATATCACAACGCTTGTCTTGCGCTGTGTCGGAAAGATTAATACCCCCGTGACTTCGAAAGTGAAGCTGGCGGAACGTGCCTCCGGAGTCTTTCAACCTTGGCCAGAAAAGAAGAGAAGAGGCATTCTCTCCCTTCTCCTCTACAGCTCCCTTTCCAGAAGACAAGCCATTGGGGTTTCCGTATTTAATAAAGTTGGCGTAATAGTCTATAATATAATTACTCAGCCGGATCTTTTCTGCTGTGATGTTCATATTGAAATAGGCAAACGTTTGAAACACGAACATAATCTCGACACCATGGCATGCCCTGTGCGAGCACGCAGCCAGACTCCCCAGCAGATTAAAATCGGCAGGTTTCTCCCACATGTACGCCCACTGATCATTCCAACCCCCGTCAAAAATTTGATTCATTACAAGCCGTCGCGGGCAACGGAAGATAAAATCGCTTAATATATCAGCGTAGGACTCTCGGGCGTCTGTTTTGTCCTTGTTTGGGTAGAACTTTGCCAGATTCTTTATGTCATCTTTTTGTTTGAAAATTACGGATAGTTCGATGGGGTAGACAATGGGTAAAACTCTACTCTTGATGTATAGTCGAACAAACAACATTCCTTCCTCTGATGTCACTCCGTATATGGTTGGAATAGAACGATCCTCCTTACTGTAGCGTTCCAGAGCTTCGAATGGCTGGTAATGCACCACGATGCCATCGATAACGGGTGCCCAGGGCTCGGCTCTATCGTAGATAGTTTCACCAATCTCTTTGAACTTCTCTTGAGCTTTTACAATTTTCTCGACTTTGGTTCTGCGAAGACAGGCCATGTCTACGTCTTTGAATTTAGTCAAACAGTTTAGTTCTTTGGCTAGTCCCACAGCCATCACGTCCCTCGCCTCTTTTGTTGTTTTGTAGGTCAGAAAGGCTGGTGGGCTTTCTATGATGGCGTGCTTGTAGTAGCCCTTGGTCTCCGCAGTCAGTAGGTGGATCAAGACAGACTGAGCTCCAGCGCTCTGTCCGGACAAAGTTATCTGAAAAATGGAAAGAAAACAGCGTCTGGGTTTGAGAGAAGTATATTATTATATCTTTTTATTATTGGTGACATAAAGGTTATCCACACAAACGAAAATATTTAGGCAGAATAGAAAGAAAGCTCCTTCTCTCTCTCTCTCTCTCTCTCTCTCTCTCTCTCTCTCTCTCTCTCTCTCTCCCTCTCTCTTTCTTTCTTTCTTTCCCTCTCTCTCCCTCCCTCACCCACTAACTTACTTTCTCTCTCTCTCACTCTCCCTCTCACTCTCTCTCTCACTCTCTCTCTTACTCCCACTCCCACTCTCTCTCCCTCTTTTTCTCCCTCTCTCTCTCCCTCTCTCTCTCCCTCTATCTCTCTCACTCTCTCTCACTCTCTCACTCTCTCTCACTCTCTCACTCTCTCTCTATCACACACTCTCCCTCTCTCTTTCTCTCTCTCTCTCTCTCTCTCTCTCTCTCTCTCTCTCTCTCTCTTTTATTCAAACACATACCCTTTTCACAGTTTCTCTTAATTTTCACCTTAATTTTCGTCTTTTCTTTACTTTGTCAGGTTTACAAATAACCTCAAAATTTTGTATCTAATTTTGGGTTCTCCTTTTTCGCATTCATTTTTCAATGTCCAACCTTTTCATACGATACATATTTTTTCTCCGATAGTTCCCAACAGTTTTATAGGCCTGAATTGTCTACTCCAGATGTTATAGGCTTGTGAGATTCGCGAAAAACACTTAAATTTCTTTGTCAGGCGTCGGTAGTCTATAGTGCGGTCAAAAATGCGTGGCGCAACTTATTGTCAAATATCTGCTCAACTATCGAACACAAATTCTCCAACTTTTGCACAATGACTTGTATCAATTTGTATTAACAGATCCTTAATATTTTTGTTTACATCTGTTTGGTCCCTTCTAGAAAATTCGTTAATAAATACTAATAGAAAATCCCAGTGGGTGGTTTCTACAGATTTTAAAAGATTTACAGTTCGGACAATATCGCTTTTAAAAGCACGCTCGTCATTTCTAGTGGGGAAAAAAGTGTTCACTATAAAAATTATTTCTTGTAACTAGTTTTGCCACTAAAAAGTACCCTTGGTGAGCTATGACGTAGGCCAAATGAGTATGGAAAATGTGTGCGAGAAGCAGGAAGTGCTGTGAACAATTCCAATTTCCTCCTGAACGAGAGTTGTAGTATCTTAAAAAAATTAGTGAAGAATAGTTATTTGATGTAGCCACAGGTTGTTGTTGTTTTTTTTAACGAATAAGTTAAGACAAATTGATACAAACCGCTGTGCAAAGTACGAGTGACATTGATTCACCGATTAAAAAGATATTTGAGGACAAGTTGCGCTACGAACTTCTGACTGCACTATAGTGGTTAGGCTACCGGACTTGTAATCAGGGGGCTGCTGGTGTGGGGGTTTGCGACTCTGGCCCAAGGTTGTGTCATTGAGAATGTTCGTCCCTTCACCCCAGTGGGAATGAGTACCCGGACACAGACAGCGAAAGACCTTGTCAGTATGTTAGTGTTTTAGCGCATATAAAAATGACAGCTTTCACAGTATGCTTCCCAAGAAGTAGAGATTGTTTCAGAATGCTATCTAGGATGATGATACAAAAGCAGATCGTTAAGCGCAAAGAGCTTGCTGTACCGCTGGAATTTGTGCTGTAAAAATTTGAATGCTGTATACCATAATTATTTACTTTTTACTTAATTACAATTATCACTATTATTTTTATTGTTATTATTGTTATTGTGATTGTTGATATAATTATAAAAATAATTATCAAAATTCTTCTTCTTCTTCTTCTTCTTCTTCTTCTTCTTCTTCTTCTTCTTCTTCTT